AAGGAGGGCCAATGCTGGAGGAAGGAGGGTTGGTGCAGGTGGAAGGAGGATGACGTGAAATGGTGGAAGGAGGAGATATGGAAGGAGCTACCTTGCAGGAAGGCCGACACATGATAATGCTAGAGCTGGGGGTTTGTTTGAGGGCAGTCGAACAAAGTAGGAACCTGCTCGTGGGGTGGCAGGATGTGAGGCGATTGAGCTTTGGGCAGACAGGAAATGAAATCATCTCTTATCTGAGAAACCATCTCTACATGCAATCCAACACATAGTCACATATCTTATTAAAAGTGGGGTGTACTAATATCAAGATGAAACATATAGAGGTAAGGTACAATTTATTGGGTTAGTTGAGTCCAAGTGTCTGCGTGCCTTTGGATACCGCACTATAATAATATGTCCTCGGAGTGTCCTAAACCGAAGCTATTAGCCCAAGTAAATTGCCAACCTTGAAGAAAGTAAACTGCCGACCTAGGCGGACAATTTCTCTTAGGTGCGTGCTTTCAATTAATGATTGCATTAAGCATAAAAGGCCACCTAGGATCATACTTATTATTGTACTTTTCATCATGTTAGTGGATAATGTTAAAATCTCCACCCACCAACATGTTCAAGGTTCTGCACCACATATCGGAACAAGCTCCAGAAGGGAAGCATGCCTTAGCTTTGGTTGGGCGGCCCCTTAGACTACGAGGGAGGCAATTGTAAAATCAAGGGCACCACAAAGGTGACGCCAAAAAGGAAGCTGAAAATTCGGCGCTATCTGGTTTCTGTAAGTTAGACAAGGTATAACTTATGGTCCATAGTTGTCTGCCATTAATGGTGCTTTGCCAAGTCACGAAGACCCTTGTTATCCCAAAACACACCTTTCATTTGTGGAACATTTTTGAAACTAATTCCTCCAACTACAGCAGATGATAAAAATTCCGTATACCTACGCTTGTGAGTTACCTTAGCCGGGGAAACTGAATGGTCCATCTGACCGTTCGATAGCTCCTCGTTAGGAGCCAGATCCTCACGCAAATGCTGAATAGAAGGAATTGAAAACCCTCACGCCCGTCATCCTGAGTGTTTGCCATCGACACCATCTTATGTAAAAAAAGGCTCTATTAGTTTCGGAGCATTCGCCTCCGAGTGCTTGGTCCATTTGTATCACTAGCTTATTTATTCGTGGTTATATCACTTGCTTGCTCATTATATACGGAGGCACACATACTTGGAAATTTAGAGAACTTAATTATCTGCAATTCCCTAAATCTGGAACGAAACTATTAGAATTTTCTTTTGGTGAAGGTGACTGCGGAACAACTGGTACGAAGGGGGAGAAATCAGCTGATTAGAATGTTTTCTGACAACTCACATAATAGCTTAATACAATAAAAATTCTTTCTACTTTGGTTTTCTCTACCTATTGACAAGAATAGCTTAATACAATAAGATATGATATATGTTTACCTATTCCATTCGATGGAACATCTAATCCATTGCGTATGAGCAGAAATTTTATCAACGCCACAACTGATAGATTTTTAGCTAAATATTTATAATACCAACTTATAGATTTTTAACTATATATTCATAATACCAATGAGTGTGAAACTGACTGGTAATGTGGTCACATTAAACCCATTAAGCGTCGCCGTAAGGGCGGCCAACCAGCTATGCCATGTGGCGCAAACTGGTTGGCCGCAGTGAGAAGGCTTTTGGGAAAAAATAGATGGAGGTGAGGAATTTTTTCAAATACACTTTTGCCTTTTTAGATGGAGGTGAGGACAGGTATTCCTTTTTAAACGGTGTCCCTCGCCAGTAGGCCACGGTGGTAAATTTTGTTTACTTCTTTTTAAGATGGAGGTGAGGATTTTTTTTCTGAGATATTTTTTTAGACGGTGGTGAGGACCCCATGTATTTCTTTAAATGAAAACTGCGCACAACTTTCTCATAAGCGGCGCCACACGGTGGCATCCAAACCACTAGTAATGATACAACCTCATAACAATACTGAAAACCAACTCAAGGGTAAATGTAATTCTATGTATGGGTTTATTATCATCGCTAATGTGATATTTTTGGGAATGTCATAATAATCATCCCCAAAATGAAAATGCATAAAAGGTTTTCCATCTCGAAGGTGCTATTTTATTTGCTATAGAACAGTATTATTTACTATCACATAATGTGGACACGCATAAAACGATCAATTTATTTCGTTGTCATTTTCAACAAACTAAAGAGTAGTACTACTAGTACTAATGAAAAGATAGCTCAGCTGGATATTATTTTTGTGGTGTTTCTTACATATCCGTTTCAGCTCCTCAAGTTATATAGCACAATGCCCACACCAATGATCGGCACGTGCACTCAGCTGCCTAGCTTGTTCCTCGACACGCTAGCGAGTAAACTCACCATGAATCAAGAAATCCCAATGACCAAGCAATCATCACCGACACATAGTCAGGAACAACAAGAACATCCTCAACTGCATGCCACCGTCGCGCAACAAGGCGGTAGCTCGACGCCGTCGGAGTCCAACCACCAGCGCAGGATCACCATGATTCCGCTCGTGTTCCTGATCTATTTCGAGGTGGCAGGCGGCCCGTACGGCTCCGAGCAGGCAGTCCGCGCCGCCGGGCCGCTGTTCACTCTACTGGGCTTCCTCGTGTTCCCCTTGGCGTGGGGCGTCCCGGAATCGCTCGTCACCGCCGAGCTCGCCACCGCGTTCCCGGGGAACGGTGGCTTCGTCCTCTGGGCAGACCACGCCTTCGGCCCGCTGGCGGGCTCGCTCCTCGGCACATGGAAGTACCTCAGCATCGTCATCAACATCGCTGCCTACCCGGCTCTCGTGGCTGACTACCTCGGTGGCGTGGTGCCGGCGGTCGCGAGACCCGGCAGGGCGCGCAAGGGCACGGTGGTCGTTATGACGCTTCTCCTCTCCTTGCTGAACTATGCCGGCCTGAGCGTCGTCGGGTGGGGCGCGACCGCACTGGGGATAGCCTCGCTGGCCCCGTTCTTGCTGATGATGGCCATGGCTGTGCCCAAGATACGGCCGGGGCGGTGGGTGACCCGGGTGGAGGGGAGGAAGAAAGACTGGAGGCTATTCTTCAACACGCTGTTCTGGAACCTCAACTACTGGGACAGTGCGAGCACCATGGCGGGCGAGGTGGAGCGGCCGGAGCGGACGTTCCTGCGGGCGCTTGCGGCTGCCGTAGTTCTCATTGCCGTCAGCTACCTGCTGCCGCTCATGGCCGCGACCGGTGCCACGGACGCGTCACCGGATGCATGGGTGAACGGCTACTTGGCTGATGCTGCAGGTACCTACCGACGCTTACGACCATACGTACAATTATCGCGATAATTAAGGTACCATTTGGTCACCTCGGAACTGAAATCAATGAGGAAAGGACGTACAGTTCAGTAAAAGAGTTGTGTCATGATGATGATGATATATATATCTCTACTTGACTGACTAATTGTCTGGTGGCAATCTGAGAGACGGTGGGTGGTAGGCCCTATTGTAGACAATAATTGTTGAACAAATTAAGACATCTATTCACTGACAAAGACAGCTCACTGTAGAACAAAGAGTGATATTGTTAGTTCTAAAATTTACGACACATCACCATAATGCCTAGGCTATGTTTTCATATTTCATTTTAACTCCAATAAAGCTGGATAGAAATCCAATATATACCTAAATAGTTCATTCCCACAACCACTATTATCTTAACATGCACATATGTCACTTCGTCAAAGATCCATGACAACATACATAAGGAAAAGTTATTCATTATTAGTGTACTCATGCACAGATCCCACCTCATCAAAGATCTACTCAGCATGCAGGGAACATTTCTTCCATTATATTATGCCACTTTATATTCAAAATGTTTTTCTCCTACACAATAATAATCATATACTATAAGATATATTACTGATTTCTAGTTTCAGTTCATATGTTATTAATTCAACTATGGATGTTTTATACAATCAAATTACTGGAATATATTTCAGTTGATTCCGGCAGCAACGCCGGGGTATTCTCTAGTATATCATCATATAATGCACACCTGATCTGAATACGGTTGGCAGATTAGTGGTGGCTGACAGTGATGGACAAATGATTATATCACAAGTTGGTAAGAAGGAGAATAAACAATAGTTCAGGTGTTGCATGGAATAATTAGATGGACCGGTGGACTAGGAGATGTAAGAAGATGATAAAGATGGGATTGTGACTTGCCTATGGGCCATGTAACTGCTAGAGCTGCTATAATTGCTATGAAGTGCACATATGAAAAACTGTGGTAAAGCCAACAAAAAGAACAAAATAGACGCAGTTAGCTCAATACTGACGGTCAATACTCAAGAAAAAAGTCATAGGCATACCATGCTTGTGCTACAATCAAGCTAGGTTGAATCTAGCGAGTGCATGTTACAATCGGCCTTTTAAGTTATTTCATAATTTTGTTGTGTCTAAACAGGCATTATCGGGGGACCATGGCTCAAGTACTGGACCGGCGCAGGAGCAGTAATCTCCTCCATTGGCATGTTCGAAGCCCAAATGAGCAGTGCCGCATTCCAGCTCCACGGCATGGCGGACCTAGGCCTCCTCCCATCCGTCTTCGACAGTCATGCCACTCGCATCGGAACCCCATGGGTTGCAATCATTGCATCAACCGCTATCACCATCGCCGTCTCCTTCCTCGGTTTCGACAACATTATTGCAACATCGAACTTCCTATATAGCATGGGCACGCTGCTCGAGTTCTCCTCCTTCCTTTGGCTCCGAGTCAAGTACCCAACACTGAAGCGCCCTTACCATGTGCCTCTGCCACTGCCCGCGCTCATGGCCATGTGCATTGTGCCATCGGTATTCCTTTCTTACGTGTGCGTGGTTGCCGGGTGGAGGGTATTCGCCATTGCTGCAGGGCTGACCGCGCTCGCTGTCGGGTGGCACGGCCTCATGAGGCTTTGCAGTTCCAAGAAGTTGCTCAGTTTTCGCGTGCCCGAATCATCGGGTTGATTCATTCCCTGCAAGTTCCATTGTCCACAACACTCACATAGTATATCTTGAAGTGAGTATTAATACCCGGTAGAACTAGTAGGGTGATTCACGCATTTGGACAACAAGAATTAAACGTGTCGTATATTTGATATTATTTTGTCTAAAATATATTAGGTCCCATCATAAATTGTTTGAAATATAGCTAAAATGCATGAACATAAGTGCACTTTCGATTTTTATTTCACCCGCACTTTGGACTTTTTTTTTCATGAAGTGTACCGAATTGTGGTTTGTATAAACAATAGCATAAGTAACGTTGCAGTCAATCAGTTTGTTTATTTTCGTAAGACAGATTATACATATATCTGTTATACACTTGGTGTAATCTTCCAATCAATAATCTTTTGAGAAAAATCAAAAAAAAATATCAAATCCAAATATTTGATAGCTCATACGTGGGCTAACATATCTCCGTATCTACGTGTGTTTCCTTCGATGTAGTGCATTGTCTTTCTCGATAGGTATACAATTAGCCATCCAGGTTTTGACTGCTGGATGTGTTAAGAGTACTTCAGCCTTCAAAGACTATATGTAATCCCAGACTTCCAATATTTGGATTGTGGTCGGTTGAATGATGGCCATCTAAGTTGTTTCAAGTCATTACTTTAAATATTTAGGTTGATATCGCTACTACCTGAAGGACATGCTACTCTGTCTGCTCCTCATATTTTTTTGGACGGAAATAGCACTGTGCCCACGCAAATGAGCATGTGATGGCCACAGTGTATTTTTTTTGTTAAAAGTAATTATGATCCCGTATAATTTTTTTGTGCAAATCTTTTTGGCTTCAATTAAAAGCTTTATGAATGATATAATCTTTGAACATTGTTATATAATTGTAGCACTTCATTTTCTCATGATTCAAATAGTTTTATGGAACTGCATTGCTTAGTGCATCTTAATAACCCATCCCACAAACTTGACCGAAATCCATGTCAATTATTAAACTCTTGAAAGTTAGAACAAATCCATAAAATATGGCAAATGTGAGACATATAAGTGAGCTATGCCAAACCCAAATAACGTAACATCAAAGTGCATTAATAAATAAGTTAATCATCGTACAAGCTTTTGTTTGGCATGCTTATCACTAGTAGGCAATGAAACTATTGAAATGTCCAAAACATCCTACTAACTAATGTCAATGCATCAAATTGTCCAACTACATATCCATATGTCCCTTTTGGTCATAGGTAACATTTCTATTATTGGAGAAATGATTGGTGTAGGCATTTCATCACCTGCTAACTAGGTATCGAATCCTAGATTTGAGTAAATGTCTTACAAACACATATTATTCTTTCAGTTGTTTATGTGTACACATAATATTTTATTGCAATCTTATGGCTCGAAAAAAGTAGCAACAATTAAGGATTGTAGGCATAAGTATTGCATTTTGTGCAAGACTATACTGGTTTTTTTATTCTATTTGGACTCCTCACATGGTTCCCTATTTTATAAAAACAGTAGAAATAACAACTAAATGAACAAGATATCCAAAAACATTCGGTTCTTGGTAACAAACTCCTCTGTTGGCACTCATGTTGGTGGCTACTCACTCCTCGGTCATTTTTCTAATTATCACCCTTAAAGAAGTTTTGTGCATTGCCAATATTTCTAATTATCACGTAATATAGGATGATAATATGTATATTTCTATCGGCTATAACATACATCCAAACTAATTCTGTTTCTGAAAATAACAAAAGGCAGTATTGAATATATTTTACAAATATCAAGTTATATTGATTTTTTCTCTATAATATGTTTATGCAGTTAGTCCTCGAGCTGCAAGTACACCAACCAGACTAATTGCAGTATGTGCGCCCCCTACATTAGTTGTTGCATCCTCTTGGCATAGGTCTAGCTATATGTCTTGTTGTGATTCCCTGAACACTACAGAAAGTAATCCGTTTATGTCCCTTTATGACCTCCCATTATAAATCTGGTTTGCATATGAAATTGGATTTGTTCTTTATAAACAAGAATTAAAATAAATGAGCAGCACGCCCTTATTCATTTAGTTTCATTACTTAATGTTCCTTCACATACTCCTCTATTATGCTCATGTTGTTGTTAGTGGCTCCCTAATTATTTTCTTGTGCGTGTTGCCCCTATGGAATTTTGTATGTTGTCAATAGTACTAATTGTGTTCTAAGATGATAATAGGAAAATTTTCACTCATATTGGTATCGATTGTACTAATTTTCTAATTGTTTATCTATCCATTGCATTTAAATTAGTATTGGTGTATGTGGTAGGATGTATCTACAACTTGTACTCGTGGTTTAACATGTGCACTTACAACAAGTTCATGTGAGATTTGAAAGAGTGGAGCTCTGGTGACCTATTAGAGGTTAGCTCAATAAGGCGTGGACATGATAAAATGTATTTATTCCAGTCGGTTCGGATGTACCGCCGTTGAGAATGCACAATCCATTGCCAGGGCACTCGTGCCATCCATCCAGCACATGTCATATGGATTTTTGTGTAGTTCGTACACATAAATGCAATATAACCGACAATTGAAACATGTAAGAGGGAGAAGATGAACATGGAATTCTTGTGTAGTTTTTCTGATATTGTGAGAAGTGAGGGATGACCGTATATAGTGTTCGTGGTAAATGCGGCACAGATGCAACTCTTATTGGGCACTAGTGGATGTGGACGTCGTGATGTAAAGTACTATACTACCGTCTTTCCGGTTTATAAGGCTTGCGGGTATCCCTAGATCTATAATTTGACCAACATAAGATAAGTTGTATAGTCCAAAAATTATACCATTATAAAGTATATGATTTCATGTTTGTAATGATTTTTTTGTGATATATAACTTGTATTAAATTGGTCTATTAGTCAAATTAGAGATACATGCAAGCCTTTTAAACCGGAAATGAGGTACTACCTACTTCACTCGCGTGCATGGGCTAAGTTAATAATTAAATTATTTCACCAACCAATCATCGGGCGGAACTACCATCCGTCTGACAATTAGTGGTCACATCATTGTATGATGGTCAATCAATCCACTGATGAGCTAAATAGCTGAAGTTTATGTTAGACTATTCTTTGGATCCCAAGTTTCCTAGTCCAAGTCGGTTTGTAATATCTAGTCTAAGTCGGTTTGTGCCAATATATGTAGCCATGTACCCTGTTCCAAAAATAATACAAGCAATAGTTTTATTCATCTATCATGGTATCAGTTTTTCGACCATAGAGTTTAGGGTATGGCTCCGCCCACCCCACCACCGCCGTCGCCGCCCGGCTACTTCGAGCGCCGGGCTGCTATCATCGCCAGGGCCGCCGCCGTGGCGGCCTCTTTTCCTCTACTCTTTCCCTAGAACCACCAAGACCTCCTACTACTCTTCTGGTTGCACCCATGTCGCTCGCCGACATCATCACCGTTGTAAGCCCTTTCATCCCCATCGTCCTCGACCTCGATGCCCACAACTATTATCATAGGCGCCACCTCTTTGATCTACACCTGGGATGCTGCAACTTCCGCTCTCATGTCGCCGCCAACAGTCCTCCTCGCCCTAATGATCCTCAATGGGTGAAAGACGATCTCGCGATTGTTCAGTGGTTCTACACCTGCATCACCACCGAGATCTTCAACATGCTTGATCACGCGGCGCCACCGCCTCCAATATCTAGGGCTCTCTTCGCCAACTTTTTCAGAGCAACATCGACGCTCGAAAAATGCTCTGCACACTGATACGTCTCCAACGTATCTATAATTTATGAAGCATTCATGCTATTTTATTATCTATTTTGAATGATTATGGGCTTTATTATACACTTTTATATTACTTTTGGGACTAACCTATTAACCGGAGGCCCAACCCATATTGCTGTTTTATTGCTTGTTTTAGTATTTCGAAGAAAAGGAATATCAAACGGAGTCCAAACGGAATGAAATCTTCGGCAGCGTGATTTTTGGAACGAACGTGACCCAGGAAACTTGGGGGGCAAGCCAGGGGAGCATCTAGGAAGCCACGAGATAGGGGGCGCGCCCACCCCCCTTGGGCGCACCCTCCCCTCTCGTGGGCCCCTCGAGGCTCCCCCGACCGACTTCTTTTGCCTATATAAGTCCACATACCCTAAAACCATCGAATATCAAGATAGATCGGGAGTTCCGCCGCCGCAAGCCTCTATAGCCACCAAAAACCTCCCGGGAGTCCGTTCTGGCACCCTGCCGGAGGGGGAATCCCTCACCGGTAGCCATCTTCATCATCCCGCGGCTCTCCATGACTAGGAGGGGGTAGTTCACCCTCGGGGCTGAGGGTATGTACCAGTAGCTAGGTGTTTGATCTCTCTCTCTCTCTCTCTCTCTCTCTCGTGTTCTCTCTATGGCACGATCTTGATGTATCACGAGCTTTGCTATTATAGTTGGATCTTATGATGTTTCTCCCCCTCTACTCTCTTGTGATGAATTGAGTTTTCCTCTTGAAGTTATCTAATCGGATTGAGTCTTTAAGGATTTGAGAACACTTGATGTATGTCTTGCCGTGTTTATCTGTGGTGACAATGGGATATCACGTGCCACTTGATGTATGTTTTGGTGATCAACTTGCGGTTTCCGCCCGTGAACCTATGCATAGGGGTTGGCACACGTTTTCGTCTTGACTCTCCGGTAGAAACTTTGGGGCACTCTTTGAAGTAGTTTGTGTTAGTTGAATAGATGAATTTGAGATTGTGTGATGCATATCGTATAATCATGCCCACGGATACTTGAGGTGACAATGGAGTATCTAGGTGACATTAGGGTTTTGGTTGATTTGTGTCTTAAGGTGTTATTCTAGTACGAACTCTTTAATAGATCGATCCGAAAGAATAACTTTGAGGTGGTTTTTGTACCCTACCATAATCTCTTCGTTTGTTCTCCGCTATTAGTGGCTTTGGAGTGACTCTTTGTTGCATGTTGAGGGACTGTTATATGATTTATCTATGTTATTATT